AACCTCCAAAAAAGAAAATTTCCTTCCTAAGAGTGAGCTGCAGGCATCCTGTACAACATTGTATAAATTAGTGATCGATGTGGGAGGGAGTAGCCCCTTATGCATGGTGCCTGCCTTGGGATGGTGGTCTTGGGGTCTAAAAGGAAGCAGGTGGAACAAGACATGGGGAGCAACCAGTAAGGAGTATCCATGGTCTCTACATCAACAACTGTTTCCAATTTCCCTGCCCTGTTTGTGTTCAAGTCCTGGCTTCCTTTGATGGCAAACAGAGATATGGAAGTGTAAGCCAAATAAACCCTTTCCTCTCCAGCTGATTTTTTGGTCATTGTGTTTCATCACAGAAATAGAAACCTCAAAATAACATGGTAACAGTATCATGGGCTACAGTGAGAGATCTGCCATGTTGTTTTGAGAAAGACTGTGAAAAGACCGAGGTACTTTGGTCTAGAAATCCATTATGAGTTCAAAACTTGATTTCATTTTCTTTGGTAGCTTGGAAGATAAGAATGTTGATAATAAAGCAAATAGTGGATGCCTAACATGTGAAGTTCCAGAGGGAGTTTGTGATTCACTTCAAGACCAAAGATGAGATCTGAGTATGATGAGCTGGGACTGAAGCATTAGGTGTAATTAACAAGAACAGAGACAGTGAAGTCAGTCTTTGCTTTACTGGGACAATAGATGCTGGTCAACTGGAGCTAAGAAATTAGCAGCGATTAAGAAGAGGCCAACATCACTTAAGCAAAGACACTTAGGAGAGGTGGTTCCTCAGAGTCGGTGCATAGGAACTGTGTTCCAGAGCCCATCAAGGTTTCATATCTTACTAGCAGCCTAACCTGGTAACGTCTAAGAGTCTCTCAGGTGGTTTGAAGGCATGAAGGGGTCATGGAGAGCAGCTGTGGTTTGGCACTGTGAGAGGCCCAGATAGGCCCTTGGAGAAGAGGCAGCCTCAGTATTAGTGGAAGCCCCAGGATAGAAGGGCTCATGGAGAGAAGTGGAAGCTTGGTTGTCTCCAAGAAGAGAGTCCCAGAGTGGCTATTGGTGGCAGCCTCATGGTATCAAGGTACCCCATCAGGTTTGGAGATGCTAGTACCAAGGACAGCAACAGCCTTTGGGTGAAACCAGCTGATGTCAGTGCTGCATAGGGTGAAGCCTGAGAAGGGACCTAATCTCTTTGGAGCAGAACAGTACATCGTGCGTGGATTCTAGACATTGGATATTGAGTTACTGTATGGACATGAAAAATTTTAAGGAACTTTTTATTTGCTTAATAGCTAATTAGGACACTGTGTTTAAATGCAAGACATCGAGGGCTTTTTAGCTAGGGCACTATCTCAACACAAAGTGCTCCTGCATCCTGGCAGCAGGCCACCTGTTAACTCCTAGCTCTGTGGTCCATCAGGGAGCAGAAATTCGGGTAGGGCTTGGGGAGGGCTGCCCTGCTAGACATAACCGGTCCTTGCTAGACATAGCCACTATGAGGAGGGAGCTCTTTAGAGATAATACACACCTGCTCTATCTTAAGAGAAACATGAACCTTGCTTGTAGTTTTTACCTATATAATGTCAACCCCAAATGATTAAGGGTGGGGCTCTACTCTGTACTGCACTGTGACCAGCAGAGGAGGAGACCTCAGCCCGCCTGAATAGAACTCAGAATAAAACTTGCTTTTTTATTCTGGACTTGACTGGATCCTGGTGGTCTCTCTGAGGGTTGCGACTTGGACACAACATTTAATGCACTCTCCAGGAACTGTGGAGACCTCTGTCGGAACCCCAAGGTCTAGAGGTTTGTACTAATACCAGTAAGGTATATTTGTATGTGCTGACTGTCTGATATATATGTTCCTCTAAGCTCTTCAGCAGAGAGAAGAAAAGGCTCTCCTGGGGAGAGCAACTCTCAGAGAGAAAGAGACAGAGAGCAGAACAAGTGTTTTCCAGGCCCTCACTGGGACTGTGATCCTGGAGGGGTTGAGGAAAGTCTCAATCGTGTGGAGGTTGTAGCCTGTGAGACTGGCTGCTGCAAGCCTCGAGATAGCTGAAGTCAGGTTTCAGTCGACTCTGGCAGGGAGCGATCAGGAAAATCTTTCTGGAAGTCCGGTTCCCAGTCAGGAGTGGTTTTGGGTTTCTACCCTCGCCAAGAGCAGAGGAAGTATCTTGTTCTTTGTCCCAGTATATTGTCAAGGTGTGGACTTGTTTCTTGTTTGCTTTGATCAGAGTCTGTGTCTTTGTTGCTCTGTTCATTCTAAGCCGTTCCACCTTTCCCTCTACTACGATGGAAAAAAAAAAAAAACGTTTCCACCCATCTGGGTCTAACTCTTGCTCACTGGCAGGTCCTTAAGGATACAGCCAACAACAACAGAGTGTCGGTCCAGAATAGCTAATGGGTCTCCTTCTGCTCAGTCGACTGGCCCTTGCTCAATGTTGGATGGCCAGCAGGGGGAAACCTTAGACCTGGAGACTATGGATAGAGTGGCATGGATGGTCTACTGCACCATGCAGGACATCCTGATCAGATCCTTACATTGAGGTGATTTTTGCAGAAACACTGCCCCCTGACACATCAGCCCAGAGGGCCAAGCTAAAAGCTCTAGTAAAGGCCTTGGACTTGGGAAAGGACAAAAGAATTAACATTTACGCAGATAGCAGCTAAGGTTTTGCTACCTATATATCCATGGAGAGAGGCTTGCTTGCGGCAGAAGGACAGACTATTAAATATAAACAGGAAATCCTAAGCCGGTTGCAGGCCCTATGGCTCCCCCCAAAGTTGGCTGTGCTGCATTGTCTGTGCCATCAAAAGGAAACGACTTGGCCACCCGAGGAAACAATCTGGCAGTCAGGACAGCTAAGGAAGTGGCACTAAGTAAAGCATTCCACACCCTATCAGCCCAGACACACCTGGGGCCATGCCCTCTTCCCCACAACCTTTTGTTACAAGCAAGAGGAAACTGCCTGGGGCATGTGTCTTTATTGCCAATGTTCATTGCAAAGAGTCATCGGTCTGGCTCAAGGTCTCTGGTTTCTACTACACTCCTGATGCTGGGTAATGGGGACACTCTCCCTTGGTCCTAACATCAGGAGTGGGTTACCTCACCTCCAAACAACCCAGATTTTAACAATCTAGAAGTATATGATTGCCTGTTCTCAGTCTGGCAGCTCTGTGACTTCAAGGATGCTAGACAGAGAGAAAATCTATGAACCAGTCTGGGCAAAGTTCTTAGCAGTATATTGTTAACTCTTGATTGTCAGAGCGCCCAAGAAAAATTTTAGCCAATGTTGTTGTATTTATTATTGAATTTCTGTCTTAATACAATGTTTGTATTATATATCTCTTTAGCAGTATTTTTTATATCTAATCCTGGCATTCTTTTTCTCCTTGGTCATATGATATCCTAGTTGCCTTACATGTGTTAACTTTTCTATGAAAATGAGGTCCTGATAACTCATTCTCTTATTATCTTTCTGCACCATTCTTTGTCCATCAATATAAGTCCCTGTGGAGGGCAGAAGTAACTTCAACTAATCTCCTTTTGTTGCTGTATATGTCATGTAATGGCCTGAGCCTATAGTGGGAAGAGACTTGCAATCTGATCTGCAACCAGTTCCCCTAGCCCATGGAATCTTGTTGACTTTTTAAAGTTTACTTTGTTCTGATTTTCTTGTTTCTAAGTACAGTGCAGATGTTCAAGTATATCTCGTGACTTATAAAGAGATCTCCAGCTTCTTTATGTACACCATAACCTCCAAGGTGTAAGGAAGACCTTCAAGTAGATAAGGATATTTCCCTAAATGTGGGATGGGTAGTATGCTTAGGACTTTTCTGGAGAGGCTTAGAAGCAGTACTCCTGGGAGAAGTCATAACTGATTCAAAAGAAATTTCCCATCAATCCAATATCCCCAAATTATACAAATATTAAAAGTTCCCCAAGCATACAACACACAGAGATCCAAACCAAAAGTGGTGCTGTGGCCATCATGTGGCTCAACATTTCTGGATCTTCGTCAAGCAGATGTGCTGGCTTTATGACCTTTGCCATTCCCTTCAGATATGGCTTCACCAGTCTGCCAGTGAGACCTCTGTGAATTAGAGAGCCCAGGGCAACCAGGGATTGGTGACCACAGAAATAAACAATGCATATAGCAGGAAAAATGGGATCACTGACTATTCCCATGGCCCAGGTCTCCTGAAAAGCTTTGTGTCAAAGGTTTAGTGACTGGGGGTTATGATAAGACTTTAAGGGTTCTTATGAAAGCACTGAATGGTACTGGGAAGGGACATTTCCATATTTGGCATTTAACAGTGTCCCTAGTCTCTGCACAAGAAATGCTCCTGCCATCTCACCTCCCAGTTGTGAGAATCACTAATGCTTCCAGGATTTGTTCAGTGTCTCAGGCGGCCACAATCACTCAGAAGCATTGCGGCAAGTACTTGCAGGCCTTCATATGATTTCACTCTTATTACTGGATATTTCATGTCTCTTGGTGCATTGATGCCCTCTCTTAAACGTCTTTTCTGTTACTTTGTATTGATATGATTCCACAAGCCATACTACACTTTTAGTCAATATCCCAGTATCCAAATGGCTAAACTTACCTGTAAGTCAGTGGGCACTTCCTACCACACTATTTGGCTTTTTTCTTTCTACTAAAACCCTGTTCTTTGAAACATGGGCTTGCTTTCAGATTTATCTGGTTATGCATTTGCTATATAGCTCAGAGGGGCCCCAGATTTAATATCCTCCTGTCTCTGCATTCCAAGTGCTGGGATTAGAGGTGTAAGGTCCCACACCCAACTAGATTTTCTTTTTCTGATCTGTGTGAATTTTGTGCATATCTGACCATTAGAAATGTGTTATTACTCTTAGCTTTTCAGATTGCCTTTCATTTATTTAGGGTATATACAGTTTTATAAAATAGTATGTACCATTATGATACTTTCACACATGAATACAATATACTTTGATTGTATTACACTTCTACACTATCCTTTCTTATCTGTCTTCCTCTCTCCACCTGCTCCAATCCTCTCCCCTCAAAGTCTGCTTTTTTTTTTTTTTGGTCTATTCTCTCCGGATTGTACATGAGAGAAAATGTAGCGCTTGCTTCTCTGAGTCTGTTTATTTTACTTAACTTGATAATCTTCAATTCCATTTGTTTGATATGCAAATGACATGATGTGTTTTTTATGAATAAGTAATATATACACTGTTTTGAATATCATGACTTCTTTATTAATTAGTTTGTTGATAACTACTTGAACTAGTAAGACCACCGAACAGAGATCTGGGTGTAGTGGTGCACAGCTTTAATTCCAGCACTTGGGAGACAGAGGTAAATTAAAGAGGACTCTAGACCAATGTTTTACCCAATTGATTTCTGATGATGAACTTATCAACAAAGGGAAACCCCAGAAGATATGAGTGTGGTGTTTGAAATGACATTTGACCCTCATAGATTTGTATTAAGGAGTACTAGATTTCTGATTGTTGGAACTGTTTGGGAGATATTGGGAAGTGTGTCTCATTGGAGGAGGTGTGTCATTGAAGGTGGGCTTTGAGAACATACTATCCCAAATACATTGGGAAAGTTAGCTTTATTGGGATTGCCCATGTAGGTAATTAATTTTCACCATCATGTCAGCCTCAATTGTGTGTCTCATCACCCATCTCCTGGATGTGCTACCCCTCCTCCCCAGCTCAACTGTCGTTCTGTTAGTTCTTGTTCAGGTTCCAATGTAATTGTGTGGCTTTTCCTGGTGTGATGGTTAAGTTCAATTACCCACTTGCTGAGGCCTAGAACCAGCTAGAAGATCAGCCTCTGAGCATTTTATGTGAGATTTCTGGACTCTGGTAATTGAGGTGGAAAGAACCACAATAAACATGGGTGGTGCCCTTCCCTTGGATGGAATTCTGGACTGTATAAATTGAGCACGAATATTCACTATTCTCTGCTTCTTTCCTCCTTATGCAATGTGACCAGCTGCCTCAAAGATTCCCACAAAGGCCATGTCATTGAACTGTAGACCAAAAAGACCTCTTCCTCTAACATTCCTTTTGATAGGGCATGTTAATAAAACAACAGGATGAGTAACAGAGAAAAAAATTGACATCAAGCAGTGGGCCTGTTACTGTCCTAACTATGATAAAAAAAAATTCTCTTGGTCTTGCACATTACGCTTTGATATGATATCGTATTCCATTTGCTAAAAATACTGTCTACAGATTTTTCAGATTCATCTTTATTTATGTGTATGTACGTGTGTATGGGAGAGTGTATGCTGTGTGTGCGGCCGCCACAAGAATCCAGAAAAAGGTACTGGATCCTTGGAACTGGAGTTACAGATGGTTGTACAGTGTCTACTGTGGGTGCTCAGAAATGAGCACTGACTCTATAAAGGAGCAGTGAGTGCTTTAGACCATCAATCCATCTTTCCAGCCCATTCTTAGGCCTCTTGCATCACGATTTATTAGAAATATTGTTTGTAATTTTATTTTCATGTAATAGCTTTTGGTTTTGTGTCAAAGCAATGACAGTCTAAGAATGAATTTGTAATTATTTCTTATTCTTTAATTTGGTAAATTTTTTATATGATTTTTATTCGTCTGTAAATATAGTTTGGTGCTGTTCACAAGTAACATTGAATGGGCCTGAAATTTTTTTAGTATTGGGTTAAAACATTAAAAAAGTTAAATGTGTGTATGTTTGTGTGTATGTGTAAGTATGTGCATTCTGTGGTACATGTGTGGAGGTTAGATGACAACCATCAGGAGTCAATTCTCTCTTTCTACCCTGTGGGTCCTGGGAGTTGATCTCAGGTTATAAGACTTAGTGGTATTTAGTGGTAGGCATCTTTACCCATAGATTCATCTTACTGGCTCTAGTAGGTTTAAATTATGAATCTGACAAAAATTGACATATAGGATCCAGTAAGATGACTCATGTGTTCAGTGTACAGAGCAGTTTCAGACAAGATCTTTATACATTAATCTTAATGTGTGTTAAATTACCAGGTAATATATAGATAAAAGAGAAATATTAACAGAAAATGTACTCTATTCTGTACTCATTTATAAGGAAAAATATTCATAGCATGAGTCAAGAAAGCTTTCTTGAATTCAGAAAAATCTCATTTCTAGTTGATCTAGGCATAAATTCAAGACAATCTAAATTCTATACTGAAGTCTCTACTACATTGATTGTGAATGTAAAGAATAAAAGGGAAACCAGATCAAAATACATCAAGTTCAAGATTTAGAGTTCTTTAATCGTCCAGGTTAGTTTATATCACGTGAAATAGAAGATATGTATATAGCAACTTCATTTACTCTACTCAATCCATTATTCTATCTTTATATAAGTCTTTTATATATAGGTTGAATAAGACTGATAGAAAGGCCTACTGGCTGTGGTCCAGCTAGTTCAACAATAGCTGTCTACTAATGGAAGTTCTAAGAATCCATTTGGATGTCTCAGCTGGTTTTCTGTATACACTGGAATTCTGAAGAAGTAGGCTCTAATGCCAGAGAAGGGATAGACTTGCCAGTGAGAGCAAGAAGGTGAATAGAAGAAATTTACTTTCTTTATGTCCTTTATATTGGCTGGCAACAGAAGGTGTAGTCCAGATTAAACACGTACCTTCCAACTTCAAGAGATCTAGGTTAAAAGTGGATCTTCACACTTCAAATGATTTAGTTAATTAAAAAAATCCATCACTAATGTACCCAGCCCCTTGAGTTTTTGTTAATTCCTGACATAGTCAACTTTTCAACCAAGAGTATCCACCACTGATGCTCATCGTCCTACAAATAAAGCCATTTTAATGAAGGGAAACAAAAAGTCAGCATGACCCCAGGTTAGCAGACACTATATCTCTTATGTGGTAAGTGAATAACGACACTTGAACATTCTCAGTGATATTTCTGACAACTCATCCCACAAACCTCACACCCTAGACCAGTTAGAACACAATTCAGAAACCAGAGAGCATAAGTGTCTGTAAATACCACTGTCTTTCAGGAAAAAATCTAATGCTAGCATTTCTGTGTCTGTACAGGAAGCGAACGTCCAGCAGCAGTGACTCCGGTTCACTGTAAACTGTAAAAACCCTATCTTGAAACCCACGATCACCCAGAATATCAGAGAAACATGGAGTGAATGTTGTTCCCCTTAGAAGGGGCGAGGAGAGGAAACTGAGCCTGTAAATTCTATTTGTAGCCCAATGCTTTACCCAGGCTTCATTGGTCCTGAAACTCCCAAAATCTTTACCATCACTTAGAGGTTCAATAGAGCCTCACTATCTGCAGAAACAGAGTTGAAAGGTTTCACTCAATAAGAACAGCCTGACATTTCCTCAAACTTGCTTTGATAACCAAGGATTATCAAAACAATAGCAAAGTCTACTGTTGTCAGAATGCTTATAGATTGGGTATAGGCTAGGGTTGAGCTTCAAGACTCCAAGAATAAACAATGTTAGCATATCAACTTATAAATGTTTTGCAAAATAGATGAAATTTGTGTTGTTGTGGAATGTTCATCACAGATGACCATTCAGACATGTGTTTAAGCTAAAAAAATGTCTTTTTTAGCTGGCTGGTGACTACACTGTGTGTTTGCTATCTCAGTGCAGTCCCAAGCTTTTCTCAGAGTTTTTAAGCACAAACCCACATCTGGGTTGACATACTTAGTTAACAAGAACAATTAGCCAACAGTGGAACCATAGAAGCAGAAGAGCAAGGTTTGTACATTTAATGACTTTCCTAGCATTGTGGATTTTGGTAAAGCAGGCATTTGTTTTGGTTTTGTTATGAAGTTTGTTGTGTTGCCTATGTGCTACGTTGTGTGGTCTGAATGGTACTTCCATCATGTTGTCAGCTGTGCTAAGGTCTGTGAGCCTGTTAAAATGTTAAAATACATGCTAAAATGGAGAACTTTAAAGACTTGGTGAATCAAATATAAGTTATAGGAATGTTGGTTGTAATTATTAAAAAGTTTAGTATAAATCTAGCTGTGAGCTATGACACTCAAATACGAAATGGATTTCAGGTGCTTATGATAGCCTTCTGTGGGCTCTGTGGGTCTGAATTCAGGTCTTCAGACTTGTAAGGCAAGTGAGCCATCTCTCCAGCCCAGTTATGGCTTTTCCTGTGGTATTACTATGAAGAGAGGACATAAGTGTGAAACTCAAGGTTATAGAGGAGTCGCAGCAGCAGCTGGGGGCAGCTAGTCCCCCTCCACCCACAGTAAGAAAGCAGAGAGCAATGTATGAGTGCACGTGTTCTATGTTAGCCTCCCTTTCCATATACACAGTCAGGGATCAGCAGCTAGGGAATGGGGCCACCCACAATGGGCAGCACTTCCTATCTCAATTAACATAAGCAAAATAGTTTCCCAAATACAAGTCCAGAGGTTCATCTCCCATGTGATTCTATAATCTGTCGATAAAACCACCCACCACAATGTTAAACCTAAAAATTGGTGTTGATTTATATGACATAAATTCAGATAAAAGGGCAATTCATATATCTTAGCGTTTATTTAAAGTGAGTAGATGTTTTTAGATTTAAGCATATTTGATCCCCTTGCTACAGCTAATGTGGATATATGATCAGTAAGTGTGAATAAAGCTTAGAAGGCCTGAATAACCAACCCATTATGTTGTTTTGCAATATTAGTGTTTTTTTTTTCTGTCATTGATTCTGATTTTTGACAGCTACAAGATTTTAGCCTAATCAGAAACCAAGTTATGTTTTACACATATCTCTCTAAGGAGAACATTAGCATCATCTGTCACCATGTCAAGGAAACAAAATTTCAGGTAAAACAATTCTTTAACATAAACATTCTTAGTAAATAGGTGCCCGTTAGTCAAACAGAACTCCTCATGAAGTCTTGAAAGCCTTTCTTGTATGGTTGTTTCTTCCTTTGTAGTTTCAAACACATGAGGAGATTTCATCTTTGCCTTGAGCTGATCCACCAACACTCGCCATTCCTGAGCCAAACCCTCCAAGGATGCATCATCCACTCCAAAGACAGTTCGATAATAGTTCATACTTTTCCTAAGATTCTCCACATCATTGCCCATTAAGAGGGTCAGTGAAGGGATCATATTGAGTACGCCAGTTGCAAAGGCTTCGAGGTAAATCCTCTGCTTCAGGAACTGCCGCTTCCTTTCAATGGCCGCATCTGTAATATTAGGCAATGAGAGCATAAAATTGTGTCGTTTGTGTACAGGGAGAGCATTCATAATCCTGTCCATCAAAATTTGGAAATCATAGTCAGATAAGATTTTACTAGAGATCAAGAAGATGGGTGGTACTTCAACTTTATTCTCCTCAAAGGTCCTCACACAGCTGCTGCGGATCTGCTCCAGGACCTTTTCTCTGTCAAAGGTTCGTGGTTTGAATTCCTTCTCATTTTTTAAGTCAGAGTCCACCTTGGTTCTCACGAAGTAGAAATCCTTCTTCATCATGCTGATTGCTTTGGCGAGGTCTATATCATTTTTCTTAAAGCGTGTGGCAGAAATAATGATGAAGAAATCATACTCGTTGAATTTCATTTTCTCCAGATAATCTTTGGGTGGGAAATTTGTGGTTCCAATCCCAGGCAGGTCCCAAAAAACCACATTGGGAATCTTGGGGTGTGTGTAGGGATGTCTCTCCATGGTTGTTTCCACCACACCAGTTTTAGCTGCACCTTTTTCTTCATGCCCAATTCCCCTCAGGACATTGATGAAGCTGGACTTCCCTGATCCAGACTCTCCTGTCACAGCAACATTGAGTGGGGTGCTATCAATTTCTTTTAATGCATTAGTGATTGAAGAATTTGCCCCCTGCATGTTTCCTTGCGACAGGCTTAACTCAATTGAAGCTATGGTTTCCTGAGAGATGATTTTGCTTCCTACCTTGAACTTCTTAAAATATTCTTTAAAGCTGGAGGCCAAATCTTGGTGGCGCTCATCATTAGATGAAGAGAACAGTTGGCCCATGACTGTGAGCAACTAATGGCACTGAAGGAAAGAAGGGTCAGGAGGATGTTTATGAAATTTAAGATCTACATTTATCAAATTTCATGTATATTTCCACATACCATCTTTAACAATTGCAATCCTGCATCTGATCTCCCACTGTGTTCATTTTACACATCTGAGACTTTGTGTCCTTTGACCAACATCATCCTATTTCCCTCTCCCACAGCTTTGCCCATCACCCTGCCTTCCACCTCTATGTGTTTGGCTTCTCTAGAGTTCACCAATAAGTGACACAGTAGGGCCATTCTTTCTGCAGGATCTGAAACCATCACATGAGACTTTAATGTTTTAGTCTCCATTGTGTCTTTGCAGATCCATCTTAATATTCAGTCTGCTCTGTGCCTCTGTCCCATGTAGACTTCATGACCAGAGGCCCTTCACATTACAGATTCCAGTACAAATCAGCTGTATTTGGTCATGGCCTCCATGTTGGGTTGCATGACTGACTGTACCTGCGTCTTTCATTCTTTATCATCTGTGCTACTTGGCCTTTGTGAACTGTTCAGTACTCATGGTATTTTCAAGAAAAATATTTTCTTCTTATTCCTCTACTTAGATCTGCTAATGGCCCCTCACACTTTCAAGCCTCTGGTTTCACACAGTCCCTTATTTATCTGCTCGGCATGTCTAACTTTCTAAATTTGCTCTTTAAGTGAAGTCTTTTTATTTGAACATTTATTCATGAACCCTTCCTGATCCATAAATCTAACACTTTTCCAATAAAGAGTTGGATTGAAGGCCAATGGACAAGCTTCTTTATAAGGTGAAATGGGACCAAACTTTGCAAAATATAATGCATATTTATATGGGGTGTAGTGCTTGCCAGTCCAGTCACCATGCCATACAGATATGTCCTAGGATCAATTTCTTTTTTTCTTTCTTTTTTTTTTTTTTGGATTTTTCAAGACAGGGTTTCTCCATAGCTTTTTTTTTGGTTCCTGTCCTGGAACTAGCTCTTGTAGACCAGGCTGGCCTCTAACTCACAGAGATCCACCTGCCTCTGCCTCCCAAGTGCTGGGATTAAAGGCGTGCGCCACCACCGCCCGGCACCAATTTCTTTTGAAGAGACTTAGCCTCCCTGAATAATTGAATCAACAGCCAAGCCAGAAAAATTCTGTTAGGGACATCACCCATCCCAATGGTTGCTTGGTACACGTAGATAGTACAAGCAGGGCACCTGCTGCATTAAAAATGAACACGGACAACATGTGCAGAAGACAGGAAGCTGAGTTGATATAGACGATAGCAACTCCTGGAACCTGAATTTGCCAATCTGTATTGGTGCTTGGGTTATATTCATAGGCTTAACTTCATAGATGGCCCAGTGGGAAAGAGAGAACTGGCAGGTACTAAGTCAGTTACTGTAGGAACAACAGGTGTAGATGGACATGTATAACTCAGTTCTACAGCATTCAGACTTCATGGCAGATTTTCATGCATCATTCCATAGCCCATAGAGTCCTGGAAACCAGGAAGCAGAGGCCATAAGCAAAGAGGGCTAACAACCTTCATGTTCCACTAGACTCTCTCTATTCCTTGGATTCATGTTAAATCTGGACACAAGAAGCTATCATGAGATGGAAAACAAGTAAAGCTACTGGCCTTCCCATAAAAATATTTGGGTACTCTGAATGCTGTAAAGCCATGTGAGATTAGCCTCCATGTGTGGATGCTCAGATAGGACAAGAACATGTGCCAATCTGTTATTGACTAAGCAAAGCAGGTACCTTCATGGACAGATTTCTTCCTGCATTCAGTTCCTTCAAAATATCATTTTCTTTATTGTCAGCTAAAATATTATTGTGGAAGCTGGGAATTCTGAGAGGCATTTATGTCCATCAATTTAATATTAAGCATGCTTAGGGAATGTAATTCTAAAAAGAGCTTGCTTAAAAGCTGGCCTATGCCTATATGAACATCTATGGACCCCATGAAGAAAACTGCTATGCTTCCTTTGCTAGGCAGTGAGTTAAAGCATCACTTTGGAAATAGCTCAATGCCTGCCTTGCCTAACTTATGTAATAAGTATTTATCCATTGTCTTATATTTTGCTTCTTTATTTTGGCTTAAGCTCACGACAAGGTGGATTAAATGCAATGAATTTCTATTGTTGGTTAAACTGAAGAAGCCTTTCTCAGCAAGTATCTCAGACAGAGATAAAGCCCGGAAGGGAGACATCTCAGGAGCCCAGTATTCTGCTCTTGATTAGCCTGATGGTCCTGAGAAATATTTGTGGCCTTTCTGAATCGTCAGATGTTTTTCCACTCCAGCCAGTGTTGTAGGGCCCTTGAACCAACTCCTCAAAAAAGGTCTTAGAAGATTGGAAGAAACACTGGGTGTAATTTGTAGCTATCTAAATTGCTAACCAGGGGCACCTCAGCTTGTAAAGCAACCCCATTTTGGTTGGTGATCGTTACAGAAATTATAGTGGTTTGGTTTCCATGACTAAAACCACTTTTATCCCTAGATTCTTGCCCTCAACCCATAGATAGAGTTCTTGACTACAAGCATGCACTGTAGGCTTCTCATCAATCATGTGGCACAGACCCATAAGAAAGGATTCCCTCTTCTGCCACATGGGCGTGATCTCAGAGCCTGTGTCATGCTGTTCTCTGCCTGTCTGTCTATGGCATTCACAACCCTTTTAACAAATCTCTTACTCAAACAACAATCTTCCCCAGTGTGCTTCTAGAATACCAGACCTGGGATCTTTCCTAATGGTACGGAGATGGAGATGGAGTTTCTCATCCTATAGAGCTACGTAAAGGCATCTCAGGGGGAAAGGTTGGGATCTGTGTTTGTTTTACTGATTAGCTGATTTGTGTTTTCCATGTTCCAAAAACTTCCAGATGTGTGATTTTACAACTTAGTTTTGTAAGCAGCCAAGTCAAAATTTCAGGTAAGTAAAGAAAATAGTTTTCATGTTTTCAAGTTTTCCACCTTCACCAACATTCTGTTTAGTCATCCTGTTTAAGGAACTACATACTGAGACAGAAGTTTTCTAATTTGCTTCAACAGAAAATTAAAACTTTTAAAGAACAGATTTAAGATTGAAGCTCACTTAGAGATACTGAAAAGGTAATCAGAGCATAAGACTTAAAAAAATAACCTGCAGGATACATTTCACAAATATTCCTTGGCTGTGTTAAAATGTATTTGATATAGATTTTATGTATGTATATATTGTGTTATATCTACATCCAGGATTATGCTCATATACTGCTTCCATGGCACCAAATGACCTTGTAGAGGGGATTAAGCTAAATTGAAATTATTAGACGAGACTAAATCCTTTTTAGTGCACATAAATAAATCTTTGCAAATAACTTAGATTTGCTGGTGAAAGGCAATTTTACCTTCAGAATTATTAACGTGTGTTCTTCCTGAGCTTCTGGCTAATTGGGTTAATACTTGTCTGTTGAATATTACAATGACCTTTGCTTTCCTAAGACACATTGTGGCTGGAACTATCATAGTTAACTCTCGACAAGATAAAGTTTCTACTAAGAGACAACAGAGGCCCTAGCATAACAAACGAAAACTCAGACCTGAGCACAGTCACTGCTCAGAATGGCATCCACAGATTTGTTTTAGTGGATTAACGCCAATAAATGGTTTGAGTTAGGATTCCACTGCTTTCTAATTTAAAAGCACACAACCATTCTGTTTTGTTTTCCTGGGGTGCGAGCTGTGTAGCCTCTAGTTAAAGAAATCTCTGTGTTCTGTTCTCTATCAACTATAGTTAAAAGTTATTAAAATTCCTAAGGCCAAAGCTCACTACACTGATACAAATCTAAAATTCATCTTGTTTATATCAATAAGTTTCTCTTAAGATACTGATTTTTCTTTGGGTAACATTTACAAAAGTAGACTTTAACCAAAATAATATTCATCAGAACCATAAGATAAAGGTTGTGATAAGTCACAAAACATTGTGTCCAATAGCAGTTCATGGCTAGTACATAATACATTTTTTATACACATTTATGGGATTAGATGTTTTAATACCTAAATTGGTATGCACATTTTTTGTATAAATTTCTAAACTTTATGTTTCCTTAAGGCGGTAACTGTTCCTGTTTCCTGCTGATGTCCTGACTGCTGGCAGGGCCAGGCCCTCAGCCCCAGCACCGCTAGCAACACAGCAGAGCATGGTCCACAACAGCCACAGAGCCAGACCCTCTTCCCCACACTCAGAAAAGTGATGACTCTACAGGGTGCTGGGGTGCCACTCAGCTCCTGGCCTCCTGGCTAGGCAAGTCCTACTATAAAGCCAGGGTCCCCTCTGAGTTTTGTTACTGTCTCTCAAGCTGGACAGACATCCAGGTTCAACTCTGTCAGCCTCACTAAACCTAATGGAGGCAGTGAGTGGTGGGGTGGTGGAGCAGGGCATGGAAGAGGTGTCAGATTTAAGCTATTGTGATGGTGACTGAAATGAAGTATTTCGTAATAAATTTGGCCACTCACAAAAGCTTACTGAATCTGGATGAAAATGAAAGTAGTTGGATCTATCAGGGCAACCATGAGCCTGAATCCTTTGCATTTAGCCTGGGGGAAAGTTACTAAGACTAAAGTTGCTGGGGATCTTTTTATAAAAGCCTCCCATCCTTTTGGTTCCCATGTCTTAGTCTACTTATGCACACTCTAAGGCTGTCTTGGGCCAGCAAGACTGAGCAGGCAAGGGTACATGTCCCTAAATCAGATGATGTGAGTTCTAATCCTAAGACTCACATAGCAGACAGAACTGATTTCCACACCTTGTCTTTTGACCTCCACAAGCATACTCTAGCATGTGAGCACCTAGCTCTGGTGTATGAGGACACAGAGAATGAATACATAAATGTTATAAAAAACAAATAAAATGCATTGTATAAAATTCTCAAAGAAGTACCGAACAAGAAAAAGAAAATAAACAAGAAAAAATGGTCTTAAATGTCTTACACAGAGTATGACCACAACAAACTACAGTGACATGAAATATTAATCAGTACAAAAGGATGCCTTTCTTCACTAGTGCCCCAACTTCATGATAAAACCCACCAAGTTAAAGAGGATTCCCTCATTAAAAATGGCCCCCAGTATCAAGTGCTGCTGTTTTGATAATTGGGCCAATTTCCTTCTAAATATTTTGGACTATACCAGAGATTACTGATGCTCTCAGCCTTGCTGAGACAAAGATTTTGTGGCTGTTTTTATTCCCCATTTGTATTTTTGTCTGGTTTTTAAACTTTTATTTATTTCTTTTCAGTGGGTAGTGTTTTGATGCTACCCAGTGGGTAGACTCATAACTGGTCAAAGTGGTGAGAGTAAGTGATGGTTGAGTGCTCATTCTTAAATAAAATAGTGAAATTTTTTATCAATCCTCCACCCTAACCAGGTTTAGAGAACACCACAGAAAACAGAGAATGGGGCAGGGGGAGTGGCGTGAAATAATTTCTTCTGACTACGACATGGCACTTGCAGGTGTAAACTCCTGGCATCTGGGGTTACCTGCAGGAGACTTACATAAGATTTAGCTTGTTCACATTTCAGCAGGAACAAGATCAGAGGCACATGATGCCTTATTCTTAGCTTAGGATTACAAGTTGGTGTGGGGGAGAAAGAGTCATTTTTCTATAGAGATATGACAACTTGAAAGTTGAGCATGATCAAGTAAATAATCCCACACCAGAACAAGCAAGTGATCCTGGTTAAAATCAATGGTGTATTAAAAAAATGTGAAGAAGACAAAACATAGGGGCATCCATGGGAAGAGGAAGGATCCCAGAGAGAATAAGAATGGGAAAAGACAGAGAAATAGTGGGTGAAGATGATCAAAATACTACAAAGATGCATTAATTTGTCATACAGCAAATAAAAATATTTTTAAAACAAAAACAAACCCTAAAATTGTTCCCCAGCAAAGTTACAGCAGAAGCATCCTACAGAGGGCATCTTTTACCCGAATCTAGTTTCCATTGGGGTTTAAAATAAATATCCTGAACTGGGTAGAATGGGACAAGAAACGAATACTGGGAAATAACAAGACTGAGATACAACAATACAACAATTTTCATATATTCTATAGTTATAATTCACAACACATATATACTGAAACGCTCATTTTCCTCTAACAAACAAACAAAACCCAAATCTAAAACAACTGGGTAAATTTTAAATAATAACCTTGTTATTTGCTTTAGGTCTATCTAAACTTGAATAATTACCTAAGAACATCTTTAAGTCATTCCTGTCTGCCTCCAATCAAAGACCCCTAGCTTCCAAACTGAGGTTCCTAACTCTGAAGATTTCTCTCTAAATGTCTTATTATTCACAGGCTTTCTAGGAAAGAGACAGAGGAGGGTGAGAAGTCAGATCTGAATGCCTAGTTACCAGAAAATCCTGTGTCCAGGGGATGCTCTCACTGCTCAGGAAAGGAATAGCCCTCAGCTGTGCTGGAGGTTCCTCACTGGAACTCCCTCTGCTTCCTCAGCAGAAACCAGGAAGATGGGTAGCTCTTTTGTCTTGACTTTTGTCCCACCTTCAGAGTGTGCTAGCCAATCACATAGGAGAGGGGGGTCCAGTTTCTTTCCAGAATCTCCTACATTTCTGAGAACATGAAAGTGAAACTCAACGTGCTTTTGTTTCTTTTCATTGCTTCCACAATTCAAGGAAAAGGAAATTGCAATCACAAAGTTGCATTTTAACCTAATGTTTAGCCCTTGAGAGGCGCTCCAAAATCAACTTACTAATGAGGTTAGAAGATTTTCCATGACCCATTAGAGTTTATTTTCTCTTGACCCCTGTGTGCTGGATAGTTTATGTCAACTTGACACAAGTTGTAGTAGTCTTAGAAGAGGGAACTTCAAAAAAGAAAATTTTCTTCATAAGATTGAGCTTCAGGCAAACCTGTACAACATTGTGTAAATTAGTGATTGTTGGGGGAGGGCCCAGCTCCTTGTGGATGGTGCCAGCCTTGAGTTGGTGGTCTTGGGTTCTAACAAGGCACAGCTGGAACAAGCCATGGGGAGCAAGCCAGTAAGGAGCATCCAGGGTCTCTACATCAACAACTGCTTCCAGGTTCCCCTCCTTCTCCATCTCATGGTGTTTCATCACAGAAACAGAAACCTTAAAATAACATGGTAATAGGATTATGGGCTATGGTGAGAGATCTGGCATGTTGTTTTGAGAAAGACTGTGAAAGGACCTTGGAACTAGAAATTTATTAGGAGTTCAAAGCTTGATGACATTTTATTTTGTAGCTTGGAAGATAAGAATGTTGAGAGTAAAGCAAACAGTGGAGGCCTAACTTGAGAAGTTCCAGAGAGAAGTTTGCAAGTCACTTAAAGACTAAAAATGAGATCTGTGGTTATGGTTAGCTGGAACTGAAGAATTAGCTGTAATTAACAAGAGCAAAGCTAATGAAGTAAGTCTTTGTTTTACAGGGACAATAGATGCTGGTCAACTGGAGCTAAGAAATTAGTGGTGATTAAGAAGAGGCAACATCACTGAGGCAGAGTCACTCTGGGGAAGTGTGCCCCTGCTGGAGGTTTTGATTGGGATTGCACTGAATCTGTGAGTCTGTTTTGGTAAAATAGTCATTTTAAAAATACAAATTCTCAGAGTTTTGATTTGCATTTCTCTGATGACTAAGGATGTTGAACATTTCCTTAAGTGACTTTCAGCCATTTTAGATTCCTTTGTTGAGAGTTCTCTGTTTAGGTCTGTACTCCATTTTTTTTATTGGATTATGTGATCTTTTGGTGTCCAATTTCTTGAGTTCTTTGTATATTTTGGAGATCAGACCTCTGTCTGATGTGGAGTTAGTGAAGATCTTTTCCCATTCTGTAGGCTGTCATTTTGTCTTGTTGACCGTGTCCTTTGCTTTACAGAAGCTCTTCTGTTTCAGGAGGTTCCATTTATTAATTGTTTCTCTCAGTGTTTGTGCTGCTGGGGTTCTACTTAGGAAGTGGTTCCCACTTTCTCTTCTATAAGGTTCAGTGTGGCTGGCTTTCTGTTAAGGTCTTTGATCCATTTGGACTTGAGTTTTGCATGGTGATAGATATGGGTCTATTTTCATTCTTCTACATGTTGATATCCAGTTATGCCAGCACCTCTTGTTAAATATGCTTTCTTTTTTTCCATTTGATATTTTTTGCTTCTTTATCAAAGATCAGGTGTTTGAAGATATGTGGATTGATATCCAGGTCTTCTATTCAGTTCCATTGGTCCTCCTGTCTGTTCTTATGCCAATACCAGTACTGTAGCTCTGTAGTAGAGTTTGAAGTCAGAAATTGTGATGCCTCCAGAAGTTCTTTTATTGTACAGAATTGTTTTGGCTATCCTGGGTTTATTGCTTTTCCATATGAAGTTGAGTACTGTTCTTTCGAGGTCTTTGTAGAACTTTGCTGGGATTTTGGTGGGCATTGCGTTGAATAAATAGATTGCGTTCTGTACGATTGCCCCCTTCCTCCATCTCAACCATCCCACTCTTCCAAGCTCTCCCTAACCCCCCTCTTCTCCCTTCTCTCTCCCTGTCACCCCTTTCCCCCACCCCACCTCCACTCCCATGCTCCCAACTTTTGCCTAGCGATCTTGTCTGCTTCCAATTTCCAGGAGGATCTATATATGTTTTCTTTGTATTCACCTTATTATTTAGCTTTTCTAAACATGGCTAGAATCCACTAATGAATGAATGTTTAGAATTGGCAGTGTCAAACAGCTAATGAAGTTATTGTGTGTCCTGAGATCAGATACCCTTTTTTAATCAACTGATGACATTTAAATTCCTCAAAAATTCTAACAAAGAAACTAAGCAAGCATGTCATTCTGAAACTGCTAACCCTAAGTAAGGCAATTAGGTCTCCTTTGAGTACACTACAGTGATACAGAGGATGTCACTGGCTCTGTTTCCAGCCGTTAGTGATAAACATACAACATGGAATTCATCCTGCAAATAAGAAGCATTTCAAATAACTGACATCTGTAGCAAACAACAAAATGAGATTACTATAAAGAGTATATGCATCGTTATTTTCCATCAGTTGGGTAAGGCTTAAATCAGACTCAGAAGATGGAAATCATTTTCTGTTCATATCTTAGATAGAAATGGCTGTTTAATTTTTAATATATTTTACAAAAAACTTTTTAGCACTTTTAGAATTCAAATTTGACTTTTGTGTTTGTGCTGTATACTCATATGTGTGTGTGTGTGTGTGTGTGTGTGTGTATGAATATGTGTGCCCTCAACAATACATGTACATGTGGAGGCTGTGGAGAAGCAGTCAATGTATGATGTCTTCATCACTTTCCACCTAAGTTTTTAAGTCGGGAGTCTTTCATTGATCCTAGTAACCATTGATGGATAGAGGACTGCACAGTGATCCTGCCTCACCACGCTTGGCTTTAGTGGGTGTGGCAGACCTAAATGAGGTCTTCACGCATGCAGAGCAAGTGCTTTACCACTGAGGCATCGCTCCAACCCTCAACCCTCAATATTTCACTTTGAGATGAATGGTCCTACAGAGGTAGCACATGCTTTTAATCCGATATATATATATATAATTTAATATATTATATTAAGTTTATATATATAATTCAATTTTTTTAAAAAAATGACAAAGAGTAAGACTGGGGACGTAGTTCAGTTGGTAGAGTTCAGAAAGCCCTGGTTTTATGACATCATAACATAAATCCTCTGATGCCAGCACCGGGGAGCTAGAGATAAAACAAACAGAAATTCAAGCTCATCAATTGTTCTACTGCATTGCAAGGCCAGCCTAGCTGCATAAGAACGTTTGCAAAATACAAAACAGGGTGGTGAATGTACTGTGGTGAGGAGGAAGGATGGGTGCATGGGTGAGAAAGGGAAAGACAGGAGAGATGGTGGGGAATCTAAGTGGAACAGGGAGGCTCACCCAAACTCCTCTCTATGGCTTCCCCATCTTCCTACATTCCTTGTGTGCACTGTTTGTGACTTGCAAGCAGCACAGAGAAGCAGTTTCAGTTTCCCATTCCTGGCAATGACTGGAAATGCGGTTTTCCTTGCTATTGTGGGTGAGAGTTCATTGAAGGACCTGCATTCCTTCCACTGTCAGAATGGCTTTCATTTTCTCTAAGAACTGTGAGTAGACAGGGCTCCTAGGCCTGTTGGCAGGCGAGGGAAGTAGGTGGAATAAATAACAGTATAGGATTTTCATAATGTTATATGTATCCTACTAATGTAGAGACTTCTTAAATATTTGTATACACACATAAGAAAGAAGATGAAGTTGCTCTCCACTGGAGCAACAATAATTCCTGCTAGATACCACAGGGTAACAATTGAAAAGCCCAGACCCAGGAATTATTTAGCTTTTTCAGACTTGTTGGCCATGGATGACCCAAATACTTACGTGCCATGGTCAGTGTTCTTAGGTACCTTCCAGAACTTGATGTAAGGTCCTGTTAGTTAATGAAAACACCACGTTCCTGAGTTATAGATTGTAACTGATACGGACCTAGATGATCCTACTGGTTATCTTTCATAGTTCTTTAGCCATAGAGGCAGAGGAGAAAATGAAATATTAATCATATCCAGGTATGACCTCTGTGAGCTACAATACTGACTGTCCATATAAGCCATAACCACCAATGGAAGAGTTACAACAATGTCAGGGTAGTGAGCAACTCCTTCCTGATTGGATTTAATATTACTCTGCAGGATGGTACTCGTACTTGGAACCATATCTGGACAACAACCTAAGCTTATGCTGGTCATACACCCTGGTGAGAACCTACTACTCTTCTGCTAAAAGATATAACATTAAAATAGCTTCTAATGATTTTCCATGATACCCATAGATTAAGGTATTGCTTAAGCCTTATCATGAAAGCTCTTGTTTGCAGTAGATTATAATCAATAGAGATATCCACAGCTGGCCAACTTGCATAGAATAAAATATTGATAAATGTCAAGAACTAAATTGAATACACATATTTCTACTTTAAGTAGAATGTTGTGGAAGAAAGGTGAGAAGACTGGAAGAGTCAGAGTTGGCGGATGATTCCAAGGAAACAATCTTCTGGACACTGCTGGACAGTTACACATTTAACCTGGCAGTGATTGTATACAACACAGGTAAGACCTGTCAAGCTCAAGCTGGACCAAATCTCTGCATTAAATGGGGAGTTTATTATGATAAGAATTAAGGAAAATGAATCTACAATAATGAAGAAATAATATTAGTCAGAAGAGGTCAAATGTGTTTTTGTCTTGGGTGAAACTAAAATTGGCATCTGCACAGGACCTCAGACAATGTGTTGTGTGACTTTAGTTCAGGCTGCATTTGTGGAATCATGAGCCCGGAAATTTATTTTAAGTGTCCAGCATAGTCAGTAAGCTGCTTTTCCTTATTCCCTGGCTTTTTCCAAGCCCCATTCCCACATTGCTATTTTTGGAATGTCCATCTTTTTCTGCCAGGAAAGGAAGTGCAGG